GACTGAGAATTCAGAGGATGGACAACTCCATGTTGTTTAATCCATGACAGTTCTTCAAACTGACTACAATAGGAAAACCTGAAAAGCACTAACAGTATGGTCTCCTCCCACTATCATAAATAATTTAAAAAGGGACTCTTCCCTGAAGGAAAACAAAGAACTATTTCTACCTGGATTGGTTCTGTTGCTGCTGTTGGTTTTGGTTCTGTTTGTTTTTATAATGGAGTTGAGCACAGGGACTTCATACTAAGTTGCAAAATTCCAGCCCTTTTTAATTTTGAGACAGTCTTAAATTGCTAAACTGCCCAGGTTGGGCTGGAATTTGCGATCTGCCTCAACCTTGCAGACTGCTAGGATTAAGAGGCATGTACTACTACACTGGCTTAAAATATTCTGATATTAAACTACTAAGTTTACTCAAGATTTACTGCTCAAACAGCTATTTGAAGCCTCTACTCTCTTTTTAAAGTAGAATGTAATATACTACCAAACAGTTACCAGAACAAAAAAAAATTATCATCCTGCACTTCTGGAAGAGGGAATATCTTCATCCTCATTTTGCATTTCCCTCATCCTAGCAGTTTCCCAATGTTTAATAATGGAAATAATTATGGAATTGGAGTAGAAGATTTCATTAAACTAGAATAAGGTAAATCACAAGATCTTATAATGAACTAGAACTGATGTTAATGATGATGTTTTCTAATCACAACAGTTTACAGATTTAAAATAAAAATTTTGACATGGGTGAAACCTAGCTCTTGTTCTTTGCTAGGTGGGCCACCATCATCTGCTAGGTATTCACTAAAAGGGCTTACAACTGTAAGTATGTATCTTCTGCAGCTCAAAAGCATCTCTCACATACCTGAGAGCTATTCTCATGAACGAAACCATCAAAAGTGTAAGATCTCAGTTTCCAAGACTTCATGGGAGGACTGAACGCTGTCATTAAATACAAGCCCCAAACATATTTGGCTTGGTCTCACTTATACCAACCAACCCTTCCTACTTTTTTACTTCTCTGATTCTGAGCACCTGCTCCACCCCATTTACTTGTTTTTCATGAGTTTTGAGAATCACTAATTCTGTAGGTCATGTAGCCCAAGTTCCTGTATCAGGGATGAGCCTAAAAATAAAAGAAACTAGCACAAATGAAGTTAGGAGCTGGTTCAAGTCCTATAGCTAGTTAAGCTTTGAAATGAAAAGTAAACAAAAGAAGGATACAAGCTACAGTAAGATGAAAGATAAAGACCTTGTCTTCCAGGAAAGAACTTTATCAGCACTTTGAGACCTGAAGTGAAATAAATCTGACACACATGTGTAAATACTGCACTGTTTCCCTGGTGTGAGAAACCAGAAGTATAAATAAGAGCCAAAAGGTATAATAGATATTGTGAAACAGGAAGAAAATGTTCAAAGGGGAAGAGGAACTAGGGAGGGGGGAGGTAGAAGGAAGGGGAAAGAAAAGAAAACAAAAACAAAGCTTTCGTAAATAAGGAGGGAAAGAAGGGTTGAGGAGAGGGGAATGGGAAGAAAGAAGAATAAAGATATATCAGGTACAGATACAAATTCCCTATAACAAATGTGATCAATATGTATACCTAACATATACCAATAAACTTAATAAAAAGGGAAAAAAAGAAATTTATCAGAATATGCTAAATTAACAGTTCCTCCCTAGCCTCTAGGCTGAGGAAAGTTTGAAAAGCTTAGAATCTGGCTAAGTAACTGATCTGAAACTCAACAAAGCTTCCTTACCTTTTCTATAAAAGGGCAAAACAAAGAAAGCACTTAAGACTTCTATCCTCTCTTGGTGGCTATCCACCAAGAGTTTTTTTTCCTTGTTATTTTTTCTAATAAACACTCTTCTAAATGCCTCCTGTTGTTCATGATTTTATTCTTCAATTTTCTGAGGCAACGAACTCAAATTTATACAAAACTAACTTCTTCACCACTACCTTTACCTAGTTATATTTATTAGTTTCCCTCTACCATATAAGTTTTGATTTCAGGAATGTGAAGGCCATTTTTGCCAAAATCACCAGCTCTTCAACTGGGCCTGTACAAGTGTCTGACAGGTGACCTTCTGATGTCAGCAGAACAAAAACTGCACCCTCAGATCATGTGAACACCATCATATTTTGAATAGTGCATCCGAGAGAGCCATGAAGAATGACTACACAAGTGCAGACCACTGATTATTTTACTTCCCTCACTTTTCTCCTTAAGTCATTCTGCTTCTTTACTCCATAGATATTTCCAAACCCTATCCTTGGGGAGGTGGGTTTGAGTCTCAGGTCTCCCACCTCCATGTCTGGCAGCTTTGTGAATAAACTTTCCTTTTGCAAACCTGGCATACAGTGTGGCAGACAAAATGGGCCTGATTCAGTAGTAACATCAGAAACTGGAAACCGTATTCTCAACTTAGTACATGTACTGATTTATACAACAGATAAAAGCAAAAATGCCAGACATTCAGAAACTTAAGTCTATTAAATATCTGCTGCTGAAGGATTTGTACAGAGTTCAGAACTGTTATAAGTGTGCAAACAAAGTTTTTCACAGTTAAGGAAAGATTTTCCATACAGGGGGAAGGCAATAAAATTTATTAATACATTTTCTAAACTATTAATAATAAGAAAATGGCATAACTGGCATCATCTTTTTTTTAATGCCTCAAATCCTGCAGGATCTTATATTCATTCATCAAATATTTACTGAGCACCTATTACATGCTAAGCACTGGGTGCAGGGAACAAAATCCCCACTCACATAGAGCTTACATTCTTGTGGTAAAAGACAAGCCAAAAAAAAAAAGTCCATAGATACAGTACTTAGATCATAATCAGTATAATAAAGTTAGGAAAGAAGAGACTGTGAGGGAATAGGATTACAGTTTTAAATAGTGTGCTCAGAGAAACTCTTATTGAGGAAGTTAGATTTAAATGAAATTAGGCAATAAATCAGGTCTTGATTACTGTAAAATGTGGTGGGTTTTGCTGTTATTCAATGTTTCACTAGATGGGGCGCACATTTTCAAATTTTAAAGCCCAACTTATCCTTAGTCCTGTCTCCCTGCCACCTCTGCCACTTTTCTCCTTGCTCATGCCATTGTCTCATTTCTGCTGGCATGAACCCACTCACTCTGAGCACAGTGTCCTTCACCTTCCTTCACCTGTTAACTACAATACACTTAGCTGCTGCTTCTTTGCCACCCTGTGTATAACTTGCAGTTTCCTGCTCTTCTTACACAAGAATCTGGAATCTCTCCTGGGAACCCATCACCACTGCATCACCACTGCTTCTATTTTACTTGAGACTTTCTCTTTCTGTTGTATTGATACAATGCCCTCCCTCCAGTCATATTCTTTCAATATATAGTTAACAAAATAATCTTTCTAAAATGCAAAACCAGAATAAGAGGGAATACTGAAACAATTCATTTTATATAAACTCAAGTTCTTTGTCTCACTAAATTGAAGAATAAAGTTGCAGATGAAAGTAGGGAGTTAGGAGAATGTTTACTGGAAATAAGCAAAAGAAAAAAAAAGCTCAGGAAGTAGAAAATGCCAAGGTGCTTTTTTTCTTTTCTTTTTTTTTTTTTTTTTGAGACAGGGGCTTTCTATATAGTCCAGGCTGGCCTTAGAACTCATGTGGTGATCCTCCTGAGTGCTGGCATTACAGGTGTGTCTATACCACCTCGCCAGGCCGAGCCAAGATGCTTTCTTTGTCTTTACCTTACACTTACTTTCCTTTTTCTACATCTTATACAGATAAGCAAAGCATGGGGATTTGTTTTAAACAGTGGCTTTATGGGTTTAGGATTTAAGGGAAATTAGTTATTTAGCTGGTTCACAGGAAACTGGGTTCAAAGCAAACTGGTTACTCTGCTCTTCTAAGTTTTTTCAACTCTAGCCTGGAAGCTAGGGAGGAGCTATCAACTAACCTAGCATATTTTTTTGCTGGGCGGAAAGATCCTTCCCTCTCCTCAAATTTTAACTTTTATTCTTTATTCCTCTGTGTGTGTGTGTGTGTGTGTGTGTGTGTGTGTGTGTGTGTGTGTGTATTAAGTTTAACTGTTTAAACCTGAGGGGTCAATTTCTTTTAGCTATTTTTAGGCCCTTTCCCGAGATTTGGAACAAGACTTTGGTGATTGAACCTGAGCTTCCCCCTTGTTAGCAGTTTGGTTTTGTATAAATTTCTTAATCTTGCTAAGCACAGATTTCCTCTTCTGGAAATTCTGACAATGATACCTACAAAAACACTACAAGGCCTAAACAAGCCAGGCATAGTGGCACATACCTATAATCCCAGTACTTAGGAGGCTGAGGCAGGATGATTGCTGTTAATTCCAGGCAAGCCTGGGCTACATTGTGAGTTCAACTCTGAACTGCATAGTGAGACCCTATCTTAAAAAAAAAAAAAAAAAAAAAAAGACTAAACAAGATATAATAAAAATGGGTCCTCAAGAAAGCATCCGCAAATGTAAATTCCACTGCCCCCTTCCCTTGTAAGTTCCAGCCATCAATCTTCTAAGAAATTATTGCATGCTACATGAAAAGTGATTCAAGGAATGTAAAACCACAAGAAACAGTATAGTATCTGTATTGAAACACACACACACACACACACACACACACACACACACACACAAAATGCAATAGGCTTGTAATGAGAGCACTTGTTTTCTAGTGGGGGTATTTATTAGGAAACCAAGCTACAATAAGAAAGTTGTGAGTTTGCACAACCCAAAGCAAGTCAGGTAGCTCTCAGCCAAGCACTGCTTGGACAAAGTTTGCTTAGACAAGGCTGCAAGTTCAGCAACTGCAGGATTCAGTGTCCCAAATTTCTTTCCAGCACTCAGTTTTCCACAGTGCCTCTAACACACCTTTTAATGACTTTAATTATGAGTAAATGACTATTGGGAAAAAGCATCAAAGGCAGTAGTTTCTAACTACTCTGAAGGAATTATTTTTTGCTCCCAAAAGATGAATAATCACCTTTGATGAACCAGGGCCAGGGAGAGTGGACGTCTGTAAACAGGCACAGAAGTGGCAACCATACATCCCTCTCCAGGAAGATTTTCTGAAGGCTGGAATAAAGAATACAAATGTAGTAGAGGATACTCAGAACTGAAGTTATCTGCGAAAGCCAGATCTGTATTAAAGAGCCTGCATACTGACCTTGGCTGACTAGAATACTGTGACAGTAGAGAGACCAAATTTTATAGATGAACAGTCAAAGTTATATTGGGCTATCTTTAGCCACCTTAAATAGCCACTTACTATACATTTCTGCATCAGATCTGACATCCTTGCTAAAACTCTCTAAATATATCCTTAAGCTTGGCACACATCTAGTTTCCAACAGCCCCAGAGCTAAGAATGTTATAACACCTGCAAACTATATAAGAGATTTTTCCACCTTGCTTCAGCTGCCTACCTAATGTTCCCACAAATGTAACTGTAAATATATTACTTAAACTTTCATTTTATGACTATAGAAACTCATGTGTAGCCAGCCATGGTGGTACATACCTGTAACCCCAGCTCTCTGGGAGGCTGAGGTAGAAGGATCACAAACTGAGCCCAGCCCTGGCAATTTAGTGACTTAGCAGCATTGTTATTTTACATTAAAAAGGTCATCAGGTAAGAGTTTGCACTCCAATGGGAACCATAATGCAAACCTTGCAGATTTTGGCTCAAGCCATTAACTCATTTTCCAGTCCCTCACAGAACCAACCACATTAAAAGAATGCCACAAATGATTTCAGACAGAAAAATGTTTCTTTTCCTCTTTTTTTTTTTTTTCCGGTACCGGAAATTGAACTCAAGACATTGCGCTTGCCAGGCAGTCGCTGTGCCGTTGAGCTAAATCCCCAGCCCCAGAAAAATGTTTCTAACCAAGGTTTACTTTACTAATAGCCACAATCACGTGGAAAGAGCCTTGGTAGAGATCACAGAGAGAAAACAATGAATATCAATATTTCCTGCTACTAGCTACAATCATTCTAACGGGCCACACTTCCAAATTTTAAAAAATGATTTTTAGAGTCATAGGAGAAAATAAACACATTAGAGATCTCATAAATAGAAATGTGATATTAAGATCTCATGATTCTGTATGTTGTGGCTAGAAAACATAAATGGTGAAAGGGATCAGCTGGATGAGGAGGTAGGAGGACCTCAAGTTCAAAGCCAGCCTTGGGTACATAGTGAGTCTGAGGCCAGCCTGAACTACATAGTGAGAATCTGTCTCACAAAACCAAATTACAATTGGCAAGGAAAATACACTCTCTGGGACCTGGAATTGAGACACGAGAAAAACAACAACTTGGTGGAAAAAAAAGAAAAAGTAATCGAAAGGGAGCTAATAGGAAAACTAGAAACTATAAAGAAGCTAGAGAAACTGACCATAATACAGAGAAAAGAATGAAGCAGGTTAGAAAGTTAACCCCAGTTTCTTGGGTGGGACCTGTTTGCTACCACAGGGTAAGTCCAGAGAGGGCTGGTAGCTCCAGGGAAAAGAAACAGACCAGGCTGGCAGTGCTAGCTCCAACAAAAGCCCACAGTTATTCAAAACTGCAAAAGCAGTGTGGAGTTTTGCTCTGAAAATGACGCCTTCCACATGGCAGACTAGGGTTGCCGAAGAACCTCAGTGCAGTACCTGCCATATTTGAGAGGGCTTCATCAGGAGACATTTTGGGAAAAGAGTAGTTGTTTAAAGCTCAGCTACAGAACGATCACATTTCTGGATTTCTGGAGGCACCCTACCAAAGTGACTGGGTGGAAGATGGTCACAAGAGACAGTTATGGAGAGGGTGTGTAGGCTAGATACAGACCGCCTGAGAAGTTTAAGCCCCAGATGAAAAGGACATGGGGGTCCTGCCCTTTGTGGTGAGAAGCCAGGCTGGTTGTGAGTTGCTTTTGGAGTGGGGGCTGGGTCTGAGAAAGTCAACATTAAGTCCAGAGGACTGCTTGACTCCCGAGCCCACCCCCCTGTGTAAATCCAACATAGCGGTCAGTGGTATGATTGCTTTCTCCATCTGCCAACATGATCAGCAATTTGCCTTCACTTGGAAGGGTGCCACAGCGCGAGGTGTATGAACAGAGGGGCCTCTGGAACAGGAGGGAATATCATAAACCTACAGATCGTAAAGCTAGGCAGAGAAAGCTGTGACTTGGGGCACAGAGTGACACAGAAACTGGGAGCACTTGGAGTGAACACAGCCTTAGTGTGGATACCACTGATCATGCCCAGCAAGAAAGGCCCAGCAGGATTCAATATTCACATACAAAAATGTGAATGTGGAAACAAAATAGGTCTTAATAGTGCTGACTATCCTGCTCCCATATCTGGTGGATTCTAATACTGAAGACCCTGGGAAAAAAATCATTCAAAAACACAGAAATTTTGGAGGATTTACTTTTCCTTTTTTGCATTTGTTATTGGGAGTTTGCATAATTTTCCCTTTTTTTCTTCTTTCCTTTATTTTGCTCATTTTTTTCTTTTTTATTGTTTGTTCTCCTCTACTACTTTTATCTAATTTTATTAATTTTCTTTTATTCCTTAATAAGATCCTTAGGTGGGTGTGGTGGTGTACACCTATAATCCCAGCACTAGGGATGCTTAGGTAGTGAGTTCAAGGCCAGCCTTAACAACATAGAGACCTGTCTCAAAACAAATAAAATGATACAAAACAAGACAAAAATCTCACTTTTCTCTCCTCTTTTTCATCCTCCTTTTCTCTATTTTTCAAATTTTATTTCTTTCATGTTACTTCATCTTTACTAGTATTACAATTAAGATGGATGGATAAAGAAAATGTGGTATTTACACACTATGGAGTACTACTCTGGTATAAAGAAGTATAAATGAGTCATCTATAGGAAAATGAGTATATCTTGAGATCACATTATTAAATGAGATAAATTAGACACACAAGCTTAAATATCACATGGTTTTTCTCAGATAAAAAACCCAAAGTATAAATAATTTAAAGAGCAAAATAAAAGACAGTAGAAAACAAGTAGATCTTTTCAAACATGAAGGGATGTAGAGATGAAGGGAGGGGATAGAGAGGGGAGGTAAAAAGAATAAAGATGTGTTATGTACATATACCAGCTCCTCACAATGAATGTAATTATTATATATTACAAATATATACTAAAATTTTTAAAAGAAAAAATAACCAAATCAAAATGAAGGAAGGAGGTGGAGTAAAGAGAACTCCAAATAAATATTCAAGAAGACAGACAATGATGACACACAGATTTGAATATTTTAAAATCAGTGGAACATCTAGAAGCAGTACTGAGATGACAACAGGTGATGAGAAACTAGAATGTGTGAGATGTCAAAGCTAAAGAAACAGACCAAGGAGCTGCTTCTCTACATGCAACAGTAAAGAGCACAAACTGGCAGTTTAGGAATAAAATAAATAAAAAGTGACAGAGGTCATTATGATTAAACTCCTGCACTGGGCCCCAACACACCAGGCTAAAAATCAAAATGGAGTCACTCACACTGAAGTTCCATACTGCCAAGATGAAACTAAGCTGTTTATCTGACCTTCTGAGAAATCAGGATTTGAAAGATAAACAGCCAAATTTCCCAAATAGGCCAGTTTCAAATGGCATAATTAATTTCCTTCTACAGTACTTTAATCCTTACACCCAAAAAAGGTAATCTAAAGTAGACTGATGCTAACCAAGCAATTATTTTTCTGTCTCCCTGTCCTTGCTTCACCAGAAGTAAGTCTGCAATGACCAATTTACTTTTCATTTTCTTGTGCCTGCCTTCTTCAGTCCCTTTTCATCTATAAAACCAAACTCCTCTGCTCAGCTCACTGGAACATTTAATTTTATGGAATGAAGAGCTGTCTAATTCTAGACTCAAAACATAATACCAATTAATATGTTTAAACCAAACTGTCCTGATTTTGTCTTTTGATAGGAGTTTGGATCAATCTTGTGGATGCATGTTATTAAACCACACAGTATTTAAAAGTTGGGAGTCTAAACACAAATGCTGAAGTCCCCATGACCCACCTCCCACCCCAGTACTGGGGATTGAACACAAGGTCTTCACACTGAGCTACATCTCCAGTTCTTTTATTTTTTATTTTGAGACAGTATCTCATCAAGTTGCTAAATTACCTAGCCTAGTTTCAAATTTGCAATCTCCTGTCCAGTCTCCCAGAGTTCTGGGATTATAGGTATGTGTCACCATGCCCAGTTTAAAGCATTCCTTTTTAATTAAAAAAAAAAAAAATGCAGCATCTCTCACAAGAGTTTGCAATTCCTCAAGTAATCTCTGTATCCAGGGCATGCAGCCTCTAGTTTACGACAGGTCAGGGTATCAGTAATTATCAACTGACATTTAATACTGAGTTTATATTGTGCTTTGTCTCATAAGAGAGAAGTAATTTTTTATACTTATGTGTCTATGAAAAGTGTTGATGGAGTTTACAGCATGCCACCCCAAAAAATGCCACTTTGACATATTAATTACTTTGAGTTAAGGGCACTTGAAAAGAAGCAGATGGAAGAAGGCACTCTGACTTTCTTTTTTCTTCCTGAAAGCAAGAGATAAAACTCCCAGGAGAAAGGTGTCCTTCTTGTACCAGGAAGAAGGAAGACATTCTTATCACCAGAGACAGGGAGTACAGGATGACAGAAATCCATATAAATAAGCCTTGTTAAACTAACCCTTACCTGCCTAGTCATTTTGCCAAGATTAACTGGCCTGGTCCAGACTGCTTTGTTTTGTCACATTTTCACAATTTACTACTATTTGCCCAACCTAGTATATTGTGGCCCTATCTGCATCTCAGGGTCTTCATTCTTCTTGTGAGGCTCCCATGAGAAAATTACTAAATAAAATGTGTATGCTTTTCTGCTGATAATCTGTTTTCTATCAGTTTAATTATTAGGCTCAACTAGAGATTCTAAAAGCACAGAGGAGAAATTTTATCTCCTCTACATTGTGAAAGAAAACCTTCTTTTTTTTTCTCATACCTAGTCTTTGTCACTTGAACCATCAAATAAAATCGTATGGTGATAAAGCTAGTTCCTCAAAAGGAGAAGCATA